CCAGTTTCCCGTAGTTTTCCCCTAAACGGGGTAGACGTCGGGAGGCTGCCGAAATTTTTTTGTGAATAATGGACAATACTTGGACAAAATGTGGACATTTGAACTTGAGCTCATATTTGTATTTGAGCAAATAAAAAAGGACTTTAACTCAATTTAAACAATAAATAAACTTGCAAATCAAATGAGATGAACAAAGGTTAGAACATTTGAACGAAGTGCAAAAGGACTTGATTTGGGACTGCATTGCACATGAACTTGAACTGAACTCAAACTTGAGTTGGACAACAAAGGACTTGAACCAAATGGACTTAAATGAACTTGAACTCAAATAAATTTGAAAATATAAGATTTGAACTTGATTTGCAGTTTGAACTCAAACAAGAAAGAGAAATTAAGTTGGTTACTTAAACTCAAGTAAGTACTTGATCATGTGCTTTGAACTTTAGCCATACAACATTAAGTGAAGCTTGAACTTGCATATACTGCAGAGAACCGGACTTTGAATTGAAAAGATATGCAAACATAATAGAAACACAAATGATGACTATTAATTTTGGATCATCTAAGTGAACAAGCAAAAGATTTGGTTTTAAACAAAGTTCCAAGCATAATTTACTTGGAAGGATCAATCAATAATAAATGAATAAATTATGATTCATGCATAATTTGATTACAAGCTTCAATATAGTGTCTTTGTGGACAACAATAATGAACTTGCAAGCAATCATTAACATGGAGCAAATGGAGAATACAATGACATGTTCATAAGTAACAATGCAAACTCTCAATGATATCAAGAGGCCATAGTGTGCTTACAAATGAAAGTGGAAAGGTTGTAGTGAATACAAACTCATGTGGCGCTAGAAGATATATGATTGTATAAAGCCGCATTCACAAACAAAAGAATGAACCATTATGTACACAACAACTTGCAGCATTCAAATTTCACAAGCAATAAAAAAATCAAAGGAGATTTATAATTTGATCACAATTGAAGAAGCAAAGACTCATAATGCAATGATTCATCTACAAACAAACCATGTTGGAGGACCCTCATGAATACAGTCTATTCACAAGCGAAGGTTAATTGAAAAGTGCAATAACATGATTGCAATCAAAGCATAAGTTTTCAATGAAATATTAATGGATCATCACATTGACTAGAATGCAAATATTATCAAACAAGCTTATTATACAAGATTTGAATCGTCTTCACGTGACAATGAAAAATTTATGAAGTTGCGGACACGAGTTCACAAGCAACGCACAATGAGAGAATAAATGTGGTCTGATCATAGATATATCATGAAGTGACTTATCAACGACTTGATTAGTCAAATAATCTATGAATGTCGAAAATCAAAATTCAAGAACCTACTGAAGCTAATTGCAAGCAAAGATCAATGATACAAGTCCACCATGCTGACCACAAGCAAATATAGAAGAATTCTCACTTATATAGTTGTCCACTTATGGGTTATGATGATTAATGTGTAGTGGATGCTAAATCATCCATACAATTGATAGCCACTCAGTATTAGTCAAATACATCAGCCTTCTACAAGCAATGATAAAAGATCTGCAACACATACGATCTTTCTACAAAGACAAATATATGTGCCACATGCCACCCAGAGGTAGATGCAGAAAGGCTTCAGTAAATGCAGTATCCTGAAGTCAATTTCCGTCTGTGAAAGAATACATCTACCTGCCCACTTCTAGCAGTGGCAGATGTACTACATGATCCAAGTACCATAATAAAGTGTATAAAGAATATGACAGATACAAGCTCCCACAAGCTTCTGCCTCGCTGCAAATATCACATACAATCTACAAACAAATACCAAAGAATTAAAACAAGTGCAAGCTCCTACGATCCGAGGCACGAGATTAGTTAGTGCACTATGATCCGCCTACAAAAATCAACAAATAGTGCACCACAGTCTACCTGTACGAAGCAGTGAACAACTCCATTTAGAAGCTGCTACTTAACGACACCGGATCCGCAACTTCTATGCAAGCGGACACAAGGCGTCTACGAATACTTTCGAAGTACCCCCGCACGTGCACCATAGTTTGTATACACATAGGTACACTAAAAGGGGAAAATACAATCCAAACCCGCATGGGCCCCGGCGAGCGTGTTATTGGTACACACGTGACGTCTAGGGATGCTGCGCGGGTTGACAAGTGAATTCAGGTTCGAAACCGATCCTTCTATACGGGTCAATAGAAGTCGATAGGGTTCGAACTATTAAGCAAATATAAAGTTGTGGCGACCGGTATATTTGCTTTAAAACATTCATATTAGGCCATCAAGGCCTACAATAATATGAATTCACTCTCTAAGGCATAAAGCCTACGAAACCCGATCCTCTGTCCACAAGCAGACAGAGCCGACAAGGTTCAAGCTTTAAATGAAAATGACCTCAAACACCCCGATGATGGCCGTGTTGAATGCAGATCTCAACCGGAGGGGTTCATAAACATTTCAATTGCCTCCCAAAAGTCCATTCCAAACACTTTTAAGTTCAAAACCCAAAATCCAAAAAATATTCAAAATTCCAAAAATATTTAAAATTGAAATAAATCCATCAATCCGCTTAAAGAAAAATCCATCCACCCTCCGCAACGGTTTGCCGAGGTGGACAAATCAAAATTTACTTCAGCT